GTAGAGCTGTGAGGAAAAGCCAGGCTGCACAAATCCACAAAAACAGCATCTGCACCCTAGGAAATGCAGAAATGAGAGAAAAGTCCCCTCTTTGCTCTCATCCAGCAGCCACAGGATGACTCGACATCCGTAGCTGGGGCTGAAGAACGACACCATGAACGGGTTTGTTGGAGTAGAGCTGTGAGGACAAAGCCAGGCTGCACAAACCCACAGAAACAGCATTTGCAGCCTGGGAATAACAGAAATGAGAGAAAAGTTCCCTCTTTGCCCTCATCCAGCAGCCACTGATCCCCTTTCACTGTTTTGTGGGAGAAGGAAGCAGGAGGACATCGCAAGGGGATGACTCCCATCCAAGAAAATGCCTATGTGAGAAGACAGACGTTCGACATCCACATCAGCGCTTCAGCCCAACGGGAATGMGCTGACCCTGGAAAATTGATTGCTGAAAACGTCCAGGCTGTTTTCAATTTTCCAAGACAAGGAAACTGCTCACCCAGACTGAACCACGGCAGGCAATGCCACAGTCAATCTGTGACTGACCGGAATCGTAACAGCCGCGATTTGGAAGCGCATCTCGGCCGGAGACATTGGGAACTCGGCGGGGAGCGTTTGGGATCAGACTTTGTGTTCTGGGTTTGGCCTCTGGGGAAGGCAGGGCTGCTCCATCCTTCTGTCCCAGCTTTGGGAGAGGTGTCACAAGGACTCAGTGACTCATTGCAGACAGCTCTGAGCTGCTTTCAAATTGAAAATCTCTTCAAACATCTGCCCCTGAGGTGGTTTTCACCAGATATGCCAGCTCACCTTTCCTCAGGGAAAGATCTGGTTTGGGAATTTCTTCCCTGTATTTCTAATGTCACCATTTTCTGGATAATTTATCTGTCAATGCCAAGTTTCATGTGCTCACGTTCTATGTTTGAATTGGAGAATTTAATGAGCCAGAGAGCCTCCAATCAGAATTACCTCCACTCAAAATTCCTACTTTACAGATTCTTCAACACTTAATACTAAAACACACTTTAAATTATTTAATCTTCCATTTATCACCGACACAGAAACCCAGAACTTTTGTCCTTGTAGCCCCATGAACTAAAAAATTCCCATCTGACAAAAACAAGACTTTCCAGATAGCTTCAAGAATGTCAAGTGACACAGAACTCATTTCACAGAATCAAACAATTACAGACTGGTTTGAACTGGGAGGGCCTGTCAACATCATGGGACACCTCCCACTATTCCAGGTTGCTCCAAGCCCAGTCCAATCTGGCCTCAGACACTTCCAGGAATCCCAGGGCAGCAGTTGGTGGCCACGGCCAGCGAATTCCTTTAAAATTTGGGTGTCATTCCTAATTTGTCTGAAGTGCYGGGGCTCAGCTCCTGGATCTGGGTGCTCAAGCCAAATTAATCTCCTTTAGTGAATTACACAAAATGATTTGGTGAATCCTGAGTGTCCTTTAGTGAATTAGAGCTAATGAAGTGCAGAGTTCTCAGATGCAGGGGCAGGGGTTGACCTCCCATTGCTCGTGGCCGTACGAGGGAAAGAGCTCCGGCCTCGATTTGTCCCACTTTGATCCAGCTGAGCTTGTGCTGGAATTTCAATTCCCAGGGATGCAAGGTCTGCTGGGCAAGGCCACCCTCTCCCCTAAGAATCAGATATTCAATGATTTCCAGCTTCTATTTTGCAGTCCTGCTCATCAGTGGACTTAAAAGCCTTGAAGGAAATAATGTAAGTGTAGCAAACCTACTGTTAAAATTCACTCCATGATAACACAATCACTGGAAAAATGTGGGCAGTTTGAAAAAAAACCCCAAACTAAAATCAATGATCTGCCTGTCTGTCCACACAAAGTATTCTTCCAGCCCTCCAACCCTTTGAAGGCAACTTCTGGGTGATTTTTGAACGCTTCAGAGGTAAGAACACCAAAATTAGAGTATCTCCCTGCTGGCYTCACTAATGTCACATAGAGATACATACTCAGCATATATTGCACTGCCACATCTCATTGGTCTACTTGATTTGGAACTCCTGCTCCTACCTTCACATGGTGCTTTTCTATACAACCATAAGATCGAGAAATAATCCTCCTGAGGGACTTTTATATATCMAAAACAACTGCAGGAACTTGGAATTTTCCATTAAAACCCCAAAACAAATATTGCAAAACAAGGTATTATTGAACACGTTCCAACATTGCCAACTATCTACAACTTTTTAATGAATAACTACAGCAAGCATTATTCTGAACTGTTACTCGAGCAGGGCTTCAGTTATTTTCCCTTTTAAAAATATTTTTAATAAACTTACCCWGTTTAAAGATCAATTTACAAAGCATTTAAGTAAATCAGCCATTTTAGAACCATCCTAATTACATTCACCTCATTAATGAGTGGATATTCTCCACCACTTCATCCCCCCACACTGCAGTAAGAGCCTCTTATCCTCCTGCACTCCTCTGACTTACCTGTAATTCAATTTGCTTCCCCCTCTTTTTTCCCTGTGAAATACAATCAACTGCAAAAGGAGCAAGGAGTCAAGTAAGATAGAGAGAAGCAGAATGATTGGGGGGTACAGAAGAAAATCAAGATGGAAAATACTTTTTCTGAAAACACAGACTGTGGACTGACTTTGCTGTGGGAAAATTCTGCTGCCTGCGTAGCAAAATATCCTCTGCACACCATGGCTTTATCTGCTATCAGTTAGTAAAACTCTCACCAGTGACAATGGGCTGTCAAATTTCCTTGGGGAAAAACCCAAAAACAAAAGGCAACCCAGGTTGAGAACCAAGGCCATGCATTTTTCTCCCTGAAGTTCTGCAAGCTAAACCTCTGGCAATTTCTAATTAAGCTCAAAACTAAAAGCGACCAACTTTTTAACAACTGAATCTCATCCTTAAAACAAAGTTTCTTTAGGTCCTGACAAAAAAAAAAAAAAAAAAAAAAAAACCACAACAAAAAAAAAGTAGCATAAAGTATCAAGCATCAAACTTATTTACATTCCTTACACTAAGGTGGCAATCAACCCCCAAGGAAGACGGTCCAATTCTACTATTCTAAAGCATTAAAACWTCATCTTTCATGGCTCATCCAAAAGCAACCTGAGCTACCTGGGTAATCAGACTGAAGGGAGAACTCTAAGGAGGTAAAAAAAAGGAATTTATTTTCCCTCCCAAACCCACAGATATAAAATATGCTGCAGATCCCAGCCCGATGCAGCATCACTGTTTCCCTTCTAAAGGGATTTTGTGGGGTGGAGGCTGTTAGGGGGCAGAACAGCCTTTCCTTCTCATACCACTAAGATTCATTCAACTTCCTTTTCTTTTTATTAATTTCACCCATTGGATGTGAGGTTTCCTCCCCAGTCCTGATCTCCAGTGGGGGTACATGGCCTGAGTGTTCTCCTCCCTTATTTTCCTGCACTGCATAGAGAAAAGGAAAAGCACATCAAGGCTTTCTCACCTACTCTCACAGCCCAAGCCCACGCTGATACAAGAATCATTTACCCGACACTTAACTTTCTAGGTGATGGAACACAGCAGAATAATCCCATAAAAACAGCTACGAGCTAAGTCCATGTCCAATTGAACTCGCAGAAGTTCAAAGCAATTCAATTACCCGTTTGGGAATAAGGCCAGACACCAGCCTTAACACCTCCAACACTTGAGAAAATGGCTCTGGACTCCTTAATGATCACAAGAAATCATTTTTTCCACTCTTCTACTCACTGTAGATGAGTAGGAAGCACTCTAGCATCACTGAGGAGATGCTCTTCTGCAGAGGTCCCTTCTCCAATTCCCATTAAAATTCACTGCTTTATCTAATAAGCAAAGCTCAAGACTTACAAAACCAGCTGTGCTTTTGGATGTAAGACCTACATTTGATATAATCTGCATAATATGGATGTGGGCAGGAGCCAAAGTGTTCAGAACAGGATCCTAAGTCTGGTAATTGGTTTAAGAATGATTCTGATCAAGTCCAATCAACTGAGGCGAGCAGGATGGGGAGCGATGCCAACATTTCCCCTTCTTCGACACGTGACACAGGGCAGGACCTCACAGCACCATCCTGCTCACAGGACATCCAGGATCTGTCATCTCATTTATTACAGCAGCAGCAATTTTTGCAACATCACAGGCACCTCCTTRGTGTCACTCAACTCCACCTCACCATTTAAATGGAAGAGCAAAAATCAGGAGGTCAATTGTGTCTTTCCAGCTGAAATAGGTTCTTTCAAAGCACACAGCTAAAAAAAAAAAAACACTTTTTTCAACTTGTTAACTAAACCAGTGTTTAAAATATCACAGCTGACAGTTGAACTCCTTAACCTGCTGGATTTTTCCTGTGTGTGTACACATGGTACTGGTAAGAGCTGAACAGCTGGGGAGGTGGATGTCCTCCTAAAATTAATAAAAACGGGCATTAAGGATGGCATTGCTATTTCCAAAACCATACAATTTGCTCATCACCCAGTCTGATATTCAACCACCTCATTCAAACCAAGTATTGCTCCAGATGCTTTCTACCAGAATCAGTGGCATCAAAAAAACTCTACTTCCAGCTGCCCACTCTGAATTTTGTAACCCTGTTTTAGGTCATGCAAGATGATTCCTCTCCCCACACGTGTTTATGAGATCCAAGGAAGGATTAACACAGTTTTACTCACTCCTTCCTTTTCTACACAAAATCCCAGATTGGTTTGGGTTGGAAAAGACCTTAAAGCCCATCTGCCATGGGCAGGGATGGAACTGAGAAATGAGGYTGATCAGGGCCCCATGCAACTCTTTATCCATCCCAAAGGATGCAGTTGATTCTTATAAGATGCTCAAAGGAAGGGCTTTCATTGAGCTATGGCTGTCCCATAAACAGGGCACTGACATCACAAAATAAATCCCAGAATTAMACAATATTCTGAGCTGGAAGGGACCCACAAGGATCATCGAGTCCAGAGGCAAAGACTGTGAYCCTTCCAGTGCTGCTCTAAGGCACTGCTGGAAGAGAATTGAGACATTTTGGTCACAAGAGTATCCAGTCTTCAGAAATGCAAGCTTGGGCCTTTTCCATTCTCACTGAATGAGTGAATCTCCTTTAATTCAAAAGGTGGGGAGGTTCTGGCTGCCCAGAGAAGCTRTGGAAATGACCCTGGAAGTGTCCAAGGCCAGGCTGGACAGGGCTTGGAGCAACCTGGGGCAGTGAGTGGCAACCCTGCCATTGGAATGAGACRATCTTGGATGTTCCTGCAACCCAAAGCATCATTTGATTCGCTGATTCACAGCAAGATAAATATTTCAGAACCACCTAAAAAACCTTGCACCATATCAAGCAAAGCTGCCTTCAAACCAGGAGCTGCTGCTGGGAATTSTGGGGCGTAATAGAGGATTAAGGATCTGACTCATCACTTATGCTCATCAGTTGCAACTCCAGTATTTTCAGAGGAGYTGTACCAGTTTTCAAGAGAGAGAGAGAAAAACCTCAGGCCTGAAGTGCTCATCATGCCAACGAACACAGAGCCATCCTCACCCATACGTTTGCATAATTATCTCCTGCRCTTGCATCTCTCTGGCTTCTGATTTTCAAAAAGAGGCCTCTACTCCCATTCATCCTGATTCCAAACAAAATGTAATTCTTGTAATGACTGCTCTCATCCCGGGGAGATGAGGGGAAGGAGGGGAATCAGGCTCAGAGCTCAGGCATGAAGCGTCACTGGCTCTGTTTAGGGATGCAAACCAGGGGCTCAGCAATGCAGGGCTCTGCCTCACGCCTTCCATCCGAACGGGGACAATTAATAAGAGCAGCCTGAAAACTTCTGAAAATAAATCCGGCGTAATCAAATACTCACCGCTACGCAAGTGGAGCAGAATATCAACACATCATTTCTTCAGAAGGCTTCAAGTTTCTCAGCTGGTTAAAGAGCCCCAAATCCTGACTCACTATTCTACACGAGCTGTTCTTCCACTTATTCTCTGCAATTCTCTGCTGATAAAATAATTTTACCGGATGCTGGCAGTGAGCAAACCCAGCAGTTTTGCCACTCTGGTGAGTAACTTAACTCTGCTTTACATCTCTGGGAAAGAGAGAGAGAATTTGAGATTGATCTTACAAGGCAAAAATATAATATAAATGGCAATTATTGTCATAATCCAAGTCTTACAAAAGGGACTGACCTCTGACTAAGCACAGGGCTGGCAGCCAGATACTTCTGAATTCTACTCAAGGCACACACTGATTCACACCGACACCTTATCTGTCTAACCCTAACCTTCCCCACTTCCAAAATCTGGGTTTCCTGCTATTGTTGCAATTCTACAGCAACAAGGCAGGAATTCAAACTGTGAGCCTGGATTCAAGGGCAGAATGAGGGATCAGAAGGACTAACAGAGAGAAAAGCTGTAGTGGCAGCTGAGTGCTGAACCAGGGCCCAAAGCCTAAAGCTGTGCCAAGAGCAAGGAGGAGCTCTTGGATTCGGGAGCCAAAGACTAAACTTTGGATAGATCAGCTCTGTAACAGCTCTCAGGGCAGGACTTGTGTGCTTTATTTACAATAAATCCCATGAACATGAGATATCCATGAGATAGCTTAACCCATGTTAACTCAAGAAACAGAGTAATTAAAAAAGGCATCAATAAAAGTGAGACATGGGCCTGCCCTAGAGACCAGACTGGCTCATCCCTGGAAGTGCCCAAGGTCAGGTTGGATGGGGCTTGGAGCACCCTGGGACAGCGGAAGGTGTCCCTGCCCATGGCAGGGGATGGCATTGGATGAGTTTTGAGGTCCCTTCCAACCCAAACCCAAACCACTCTGGCATTACAACCCAAAACACTCTGGGATTCTATGAGAATTCATAATTTTTAGCTGTTCAGATTACAGGGTACAGTGCTGTGTTCTGCCTCCTCCATTTAATTTCAAAATTTTAAAATCCAGACAGAATCTCAGAACTCTTCTCTGTTAACATGAATTCTGCCACCTGGGGTATCTAAATACTCCAATCACCAGATCCCTGTRGGGCAGGGAAGTAACACCATATATTTTTTTGTGACCAAGAGCTCCCAGAGAGGGGCTGAACTTTGGACAAGCCCAAATGACTTCTTCAAAACCACACAGGAATTCTGCAAGAAGGCAGAACAAGAATTTGGCCAAACCCTGAGCGTTTTGTCACTGCACACCCAGGGTCCATCTATAGAATCACACATGACAAGGTGTAGGACAGCTTTCAAGCAAAGCCATCACCAGCATTTCCACCACCTCTTCCACACATGAAGAAAAAGAGACATTTCTGAGGTATTTCAGGCACCTTCTTCTCCTTCAGGATCCAAAAAACATTTCCTCAARAGAGAAATGGGTTACTTCAGAAAACTCAAATCCAAGCCCAGCAAAGAGCTGAACCTCACCTAGCCCTGCTTTTGTGCTTAACCACAAAGCAAATTATTTTCCACTAGAAAAACAGTTTGCAAGGGCACCTTTAGTGGCACAGCCTTAGCAGAGACAGAAATTCCACTTGGAGAACCTGGGAATAGATAAGAGTCTCCTTGAAGAAAATAAATCATAACAGCAAAAACCATGGGCTTCTGGCCACTGCTGCTTCCATGTTGGAGTTTTATTTTAGTTAGAAAATAGTTCTATTTTAGTTAAAAGAAATGAATGTTCTCATTAATGCTCTTAAAGCAACAAAACATTTCTTTGTGTAATCCAGACCTGAACAAGGGAAATTCACATGGCAGACAAGACCCAGCCTACATTCCACACTGCCAAGGCCACCASTGCCCCATGTCCCCAASTGTCCCATCCACACAGCTCTTAAATCCCTCCAGGGATGGGAATCCATCACTGCCCTGAGCAGCTGTGCCAGGGCTGCAAAACCCTTTTGAGGAAAAGAATTTCTCAATTCAAAAAGATTTTTCTGTAGGTCACTTTAGCTGTGAAATCATGACTTAACTCATCTGGTTTATTTTCAAGTAAAACCAAGGGCTCAGGCAGGACATTGTTTCAGTTCAACTAAAGCTAAAAGAGCCAACTGAGGACTCCCAGAGTCACCCACTATTTACATGATGTCACTGGAAAAAAAAAAAAAAAAGAGATAATCAGCTGAGTTTTCTGTTTCCTGGGTTTAATTAACCTGTTCTGTGCCACATCTCCAGGACACCAGACAGGTACAGCTCAGACTGTGGTGATTTTCTAAACCCCTGAAACTCAAGTGCCTGCTCTTCAATCTGTGCTGACTTGGTGGAGTTCACACTCTCCTTCTTCTCTTCCTGTTGTTTTCCCTAAATGATGACAAGGCTTCAATCCAGTCCTTTTCTATGTGCATTACTCACCCTGATTTTCTTTTCCTCCCTCCACAGACAGCCCTGTCATTGCTGGCAGTTAAATTCATCAGCACTGGCYTGATAATTCAGGTAAACTTGAAGGGACGACAGTGAAAATGTCAGCTTCTATCAGAAATCACATTTTGAGGGGTGTAAAACACACTGCTGGTCATAGCTCACTATTAACACCTATTAATTAATCAATATGGACTATCAAGCACAAGTAATTACTCCCAAATTTATGTGGAGCCCAATAGAGATAAACCTGTGCTGGCTACAGGACTGAGTTTTAGATAAATGCCCGATTCCTGTCAGGCCAAAATCAAGAKTTCTGTGTTCACACCCTGCCTCAAACTCCTCCCAAGCACTGATTTTCATCCCACTAAGGGTAAAAATGAGGCAGTGAAATAGAAACTGCAACCAAATGATTGCTTGGCTGTTCTTTTAGGCTGTTCTCTCTCACCATGGCAGTTTTAAAACTTTCAGTCTTAATCTTATTCATCATGTAAGTTCAAACCTCAGAAATATTTTTTAAGGCTCCATTTTCTTCTTTCCCCTTCACAATCCCATTTCCCCTTTTTAAAAGGTATCTATGGTTTAATCTGGAAACTTTCTATCTAAATGGSCCATCTTGGCCCATTTCCTCTGATTTTATACTCTCWAATCCCCTCCAAATTGGTTCACTCYAGTTTTCCCTCAGTCAAAAATTATTCACCTCTACTTCTGCTGCATCTTCCATCCCTGTATGAACTGCACATATACTGGAATAAATTGAAGAAGCTGYTACTGCTCTGCTGGGAGGTGGCAGCAGAAAACTGCACAGGGGCAGAACACCACTGAAACRGAGCTAAAACCCAGGAAATTCAAGYTATGCAATTCCCAGCTTGGAAATTTCTGGCAAAASCCTGAGACAAAGTTGTCAGATGCCCTTGAGCTCACACAAAACACAGAGGAGCTCTGAGGTCACCTGCCCAACTCCGAATTATGGGATAACAAAGATGCCCAGGGTGATGTGGCCTTGCCTCCAGACCTCTCTCCTGCTGTGAACCAGATCTTTACAATTTCAAGTGGTGATTTTAGTACTGGGATCCAACATAGTTCCAGCTAAAAGGGCAAAGAGGAGGAGGGTCAAGAGACTGGCTGCAAAGTAGGAAACCACTGGTTTGGACAGAAAACTAAAAAATAGCTAATTAATGGCTTTTTGAAATCCACTGGAGTTTGGTTTCCAACACCAAATCCATGGCAGTCATTATTTTCTGCTGAAACTCCCTCTACAGAAAGCTGTGACTGCACTGCTCACTTGCACTATCAACATGAAGGGATAAATCTTCATCCTCGAAATAATCCACCTGGGAAAATGTGATGTATTCACAGCAGCTCCGTTCCTTGCTACCTGTCCTGCAGGAAAGGTCCCTCTTCCCAGCTCAGTCTGACAAGGAACAGTCTGAAGTCAAAAGGTCAAAGTATCTCAGGAATTTTACTGCCAGGGGATGAGCATTTGGTTGTGMCTGTAACAGGAATATTGGGAACAGMARTACAGGACTGGCCAGTGRGAAATGAGTGACAGCACAGCACAGGAAAAAACCTTTCCTTTCAGCCTGACAAGCCTCAAAATTCAAATTCATTTGCCTGTTTMTTGAAGAAACAGCATGGAAACCAATGAAATTGAAGATATATGACAGAAGGCATTTAAAGGAATAAACTAATTAAGAATTCCAGGATGAGATTTGGACAACCTCGATTCACACTGGGATTCAAGATATTTGAGTTGCTCGGACCAATACATCCAATTCCAGAGTTAGGGGAGGTGCTTCAGGTTTTCTGCCTTTGCCAGAGGACACTGAATTCAAGGTGGCTCATCCCTTTCAGCAAATCTCTCCTTGAACAGATTTTTCTCTGATCAAGGCCGAGTTTCTAAGAACTGCATCATTTTCCTTCTGTTTCAGGGACAGAAATGTCGAAGCACAAACAATGCATCAGCCAGACCATGGGAGAAATTCAATGTCACTATTCCCTGATTTAAACGTCCAGTTATTTTACTATTCCTTTAATAGTTTATTCCTTTAATAGGTTTAATAGGTTATTTATTCCTTTAATAGCTTTAAATGTCTTCCCTGGTTTAAATATTTCACTAAACCAGTGGAACTCTCCAATTCACCCAACTGCTCATAATAATTGCAACCATTTCTCTGCTGTTTTTAGACAAATTAACAGAAAAAACACCACAAAATTACTCTTAATTGTTCTGAATTTCTTCAGAATTGTACTTACACTACTGGAAAAGTTCTGAGCATACTTTACATGAGGATGGGACGTTACAAAGCCTCTCGAGGGTCTTCAGTGTTATTCACCATTCTGTAAGACACAAGGAAAAGATCCAAAAACATCAGAGATGTCAGTGAGAGGCACAGAGATCCACCCACATCATTCTGGATCATCTGTCACTAATCCAGGCCCAAGAGACTCACACTGAGAAAGCTGGTGTCTGGTGTTGTAATCAGTCCAGAGACAAAAATTTAAATTACAATTGATTTCTTTTGGCCACAAGTAAATTAATCTATGCAATCATTTAGCCTTATGACAGTTACCTACCCTTTTAACTCACAAAAGCTATTAAAAGGATTATTTGGCCAACATCCGCAGAGAGCTCGGGAGACAGGTACTATGTTCTGAGGARGAATGACCTAATAGAATTTTCCTCAGCTATCACTGCTGATGTCTTTCTCCACAAACTAACACGGACTAAAAGTGCTCCAAAAGTCAAATTGTTAACCAACAGGAAAGAGAAAAGGCAGGAAGTTAAACCCAGGCAAAGCTGGGATACAAAATGAGTGGGTACAGCATCACTGGTAGGGTAGGGATCATTTCCTCTGCTCCATCTGTAACATCAGCAATCATAGATTGCTAATCCATGGAAAGTAATCGTGATTCACACATCTTAGATCACCTCAGGGGTTAAAAGTGCTTCAGACACTCCAGAATTCCTCTCTCACACCTGCTGAAGGTGAAGGTTCTTCTTGGGGAAGAACTGCACCTGTCCCAGATGGAGCTCCTATGGAGACTGAAGGGTCACAGAGCTGGTTAGGCTGGAAAAGCCCCCTCAGATCACAGAACCTCAGGATGGTTTGGGCTGGAAGGGGCCTTAAACATTATCAATTCCCACCCCTGCCATGAGCAGGGACACCTCCCACTGTCCCAGTGTGCTCCGAGTCCCATCTAGCCTGGCCTGGGACACTTCCAGGGATCCAGGGGCAGCCACAGCTTCTCTGGGCACCCTGTTCCAGGGCCTCACCACCCTCACAGGGAACAATTCCTTCCCAATATCCCATCCATCCCTGCCCTCTGGCAGTTTGAAGCCATTCCCTGTGTCCTGTCCCTCCATCCCTTGTCCCCAGTCCCTCTCCAGCTCTCCTGGAGCCCCTTTAGGCCGTGAAAGGAGCTCTGAGCTCTGCCTGGATCCTTCTCCTCTCCAGGTGAGCACCCCCAGCTCTCCCAGCCTGGCTCTACCCTCGGAGCAGCTCCATGGCCTCCTCTGGTTTCACTCCACCACCTCCAGATCTTTCCTGTGCTGAGGACCCAGAGCTGGAGGCAGAACTCCATGTGAGTCCCACAAAGCAGAGCACAGGAGGAGAATCGCCTCCATCAAGACCACCAGGTCCAACTGTTCCCCCAGCACTGCCGAGGCCACCACTGCCCCATGTCCCCAAGTGCCACATCCACACGGCTTTTAAATCCTTCCAGGGATGCTGATACCATCTTCATGTGAGGTTTTTTTTTCCCCTTTTTTCCTCTATGAAAAAACTCGTGAATTTTCAGGACAGGAGGCTGCGCTGAATGAGCTTGCTCAGCTTTTGGCCACCAGTTTAAGGTTTAAGGGAGTCCCCTTGAGTCTTCTCCCACCCAGCCACGGCCAGGGAAAGCTCTGGGTGTTTCCAGGGAGGGAGGTGCTCAGAGCTGCCCGGTGCTCTTCCACAACAACTCATTTAGCCCACACTGAGGTCCTGAGCTGTCTCTTTCTCTCCAGGGAAAGAAATCACCAAGATGAGATGTCCCAGTAGGATCTCACAGGTCACATTCTGTGGGCTGGGACAGAACTGGTGACACCAAACCACTGAGGGATGGAAGAGCCAAACACCAGCGCCCTCCCTATGAGCCACCCCAAATCTTATACAGAGACTCCCTCACCAAACCCCTCCTCCACSCAATTCTTTTATTTTAAACATATTCCCCAAGGCAGTCACAAAAAATATGAGATCATGCTGCTGACTTCTTGCCAAATTTTAATACAGAGAGCTGTTTTGTTTTCCAAAGAGGAACAAATTAGACTTAAATATATACAAACTTTCTGAAGGTCAGAGAGGCTAATGATAAAGAACTGGATTCCTCAGAGAAAGATCTGCTTCCAGGGTGAGCAGGGTGGATGTAGCAAAGGAGAAAACACAGAAAGGAAAGAAAAAATCACCTTCCATCATCATGAAATGCAGGATTAAAAGTAGAACGCGAGGAGATGAGATAAGAGAAGCAAAGAAAAGGCTGCTSTAAGGCAGGTTTTGAGATGACAAAGGCAGGAGGATGATATTAGTGATAGCARTGAAAGAGCAAAAAACTGGTATGGACCTCAGATGTTGTAAGTGAAGACCATTAGGATCCAGAGCGAATTTGGGATGTGATTAGAGGAGGAAAACRAGCTTTACCAAGACACTCCAGATCTGTGAGTGCACACAGAGGATGAYGGGATTTCAGCAGAAATAAACAGCAGCAAATTAATGAGAAAATATGGAAAATTCTCAATTTTTGCWATGTTAAAGTGCCAGGCAGATTTATTACACTCCGAGTGCAACCACAAACTGCCCCAGACCGARTGAGGAAGGACAGGGAACGCTCAGGTCTGCCTTGGGAGCAGCACTGGTGAAAGGAAATGCAGTTGCAGAGAAAGGAGAGGAAGCTGGAGCTTCCTCCGGCCGCTGCCAGCCCCGTCGGCCGCTATTGAAAAGGGGCACAAACAGTCTTTGACTCCACTTGGTCTAAAGTTCAGYGGCACAGAAATACCTCCCCCACCCCCAGACACATGTGAGAAGTTGCTTCAATGCTTTTGTCACTTAAGGGCACATCGGGCAGGAAACGAGCAAAAAAACCTTCACCTAAAATTCGAGTCAAAAGAATTCAATCCCGATCAGCATCGATTCCACCAGCAGCGAATCCTGACTCTGAATCACAACTCAATATCCCTCAGTCTCCTTTTAGCAATGAAGCAAAGCACCAAAGCAGCCAAGGCAGGTGTCACCACTCTCTGCAGTGATCTGGGAGTCAGAACTCACAAACCTTTGCCCTTTTCGCATTATTCATTAAATAAATTATCTGCTAACCCAGGGAAAACACAACCAGCTTCCCCCTTTCCTATTTCTGGTACAGACAATAAAATAAAAAAAGCCACTATTAATATGGAAATCATGGCTGCAGTTGTAGAATCAGATGTAATGAACAATCTTGTCCCCAGCTTAAGTTGCTATAAAGGCAGCTTAAATTTACAATGGATGAGTCTTCATGGCAATCTGTTTTTCAGATATTAAAAATCTCATTTTCTCGGTGCCAAGGACAAGTGGAAGYGTGAAGCACTGGAGTATCAACTCTGCATTTGTCTCACTTGACATGAAATCATTCTCATTTTAGTTCTGATTTTTAATACATTCTTGGGATCCACTTCAGTTTTCTTCATTTCTCACTGTGTGCAATTAAATGTTTTGAAGTAGAGTTCACCCTGATCCACAACACCCTGTAGAAGCAAGGAGAAAGTCACTTGGTAAAGATGAGGCTGATATCACTTATTTGGAAGAGAAACTCATTTTCTCTTTTAATTTCTGAGTGACTCACATAGTAATATAAAAAAAAAATAAAAAAAAAGAAGCCACCACTTTGTATTTCACTAATACCTTCCTTGGTGAGTTCTTTAAATGGGCCTTCCAAATAACAAACGAAAAGCTTCTGTCCTTGGGGAAGACAAACTTCATCATTTTGACATCAGTCAAACATGAACAGAGGGGCTGAATCCTTGGCTTAAAGCCACCCAAGGCAGTCTCAGTGGCTGAACAGAGGAGAGGCCCCACCACCACAACTGTCACACCACTCCTGAAAAAATACAGAAAAACCACGGTTCAGCCTTGCTGATGAACCTGGAGCCTTGGATGGTAAAGAAATTCAGCCCAGAGAGTGAAGTTCTGCCACTGCTGAACTCGTGGTAAAGGCAGATTCCCAACTCCATGCACAATTACAAATCAATCGTCTCCCAGAAATAGCAAAAAATTCAAAATTTAAGTTTTTTACTCAATGTAAGCTTAAAATCTGTGGGAATTGTGAGGTYTTCTGGGCAGAGCCTGGGCACGTGTGTTCACACATCCATAAATGTGTCAGGGGAGGGACACAGAGGGAATTTCTCCATGGAAGGGTTGTTAAATATTGGAAGGGGCTRCCCAGGGAGGTTTAGAGTCCCCATCCCTGGAGGTGGCACTCAGTGCYCTGGGYTGGGGACAAGGTRGGGATCRGTCACAGGTGGGAACCATTCCAAATGGATCATTTTGGAAGCGTTTTCCAACCTGAATAATTCTGGATTCAATTGGCCTCTCCACATTGAGGTAAAGCTGTYACCTGGTTTAACTTCTCTCCCAGGACATCTTGCCTCAAAACCAGCAAGAAATCAAGGATCCATCCATTCCAGTTCACACTGGTGATTAATCACCCTCTCCACTACAAATTTGTACTTGATTTCTACTCTGAACGTGTCTGGCTTCTCGTTCCAGACAGCAGCCTGCCTTTGCCAGCTCCAAGTCCTTTATTCCTGGGAGATGTTCCGACAGGCTCTTATTTACCCAGAGCTTTTCAAACTCCAGGTACTGCATTTGTATCCAAACTTCAATTCATCTGGGTACAAGCACAAAAGTAGGACTAGTGTCCAAAATACTGGAGCTAATCTAGGACTCTCTAGCCCATTTTCCCAAAATAGGTATATTAGGAAAAAAAAAATAATAAAAAAAAAAGCTCTGCCATATGACTTGAGGATGTGTTTTATTTGTGCCCTGAGAAGCAAGGCTGGGAACCTTCTCCAARCACTGCCACCTCCTGAGCACACCCCACAGCTTGGTGACGTGCAGCATCCAATTCCATGTGGAAATCCTTTTATCCAAATCCCCTGCTCAAGCAGGGCCACCAAAGCTCAGGACCACGTCCAGTGGATCTTCAAAACTTCATTTCCTCTGAGCAACCTGCGCCAGTGAGCRGAAAGCAGCAAGAGATCCCACTTTTCATGAACACAAAAATCCTCAGAAAAAATATTCAGAAGCCGCCTCCAACCAATGCTG